AAACATTTGAGTCCCCAATAATCAGGCACAGAAATCTCATTGCAGACTAAAACTAAAATACTAATCACATAAAAAGCAGAAACAGTTCAATCTGGAAGTGTTGAACAGACCTGAGTTGGAATCTTGGCTCTACCATATGACACTTTTAAGACTTTTACCTCTTTGCATTTCAGTTTCTATATCTGCAACATGAGGATGGTAACACTAAAAGTGACAGGATTGGAGAGAATTAAAACAAAGAAGGCATGCAATATATGTGAAGTGCCTGGACGACAAAAGGCACTCAACAGAATGCCCATGGACTTTTCCTTCTTCCCTGACTCCTCTGGAAATTAAGTTTGACAGGCCAATAGCATTCTCTTTACTCTCAAAGCTACTGTGCTGAGAAAGAGAAACAACTAACTAAATGGAATACTAAATCTCCTTGATTTCAAATTTTAAAGTAAATAAATAATGAAATAAAAATGGTAAGAAACAGAAAGAATGATGGAATTATAAAACCCATATAGCAGTTATTAAGATACCATTAATCATTTCCATCTTCCTCTTAGCCACGATGATGAAGTTATATTTCATACACATTGAAGGGAGAAATCATCCAAACTTTCAAAAGCGAAATTAAGTGTTTCATAAAAACAAAAATTGCTGCCATTTTCCAGATGTTCTCTCAGAAAACTATTTCAAAATAAAAGTAAGGCCTTTTAGTCTTTCAGCTGAGATGACCTGTCTAGGTGACTATTACGTATCTAATGCTATGGCAGAAGGGGCATTCAAAAAAAAGGTGGAAACTGGGCTGGTGGCTCAAGCTGTAGAGTCCCTGCCAAGCAAGCATAAAGCCCTGAGTTCAAACCCCAGTACCAGAAAAAAAGGTGAAAATACTTATTAAAAGCATAGTAGGCGCCAGGTACTGTTAGGTTTATAACCTTGCATTAGTGTGATAGGCTGCCATAAAAAGTTTCCTAACTGGGTGGCTTACATAATGGAAACTTATTTTCTCACAGTTGTGGAGGCTGTAAGTCCAAGAACCAGGTGCCAGCAGGGCTGGTTTCCTCTGAATTTTCTCTCCTTGGTTTGCAGATGGTTGCCCTCTGAGTGCTTTCTCCATATGATTGCCTTGGTGTCTCTTTGTGTGTCCAAATTTTCTCTTCTTATGAAGATAACAGTCAAACTGGATTACAGCCTATTCTACTGGCCTCCTTTCAACTGAATTACCACTTTTAAGTCCCTCTCTTGAAATACAGACACATTCTAAAATACTGAGGGACATAATTCAGCCCATAACAAAACATCATCTCATTTAACTATTGCTCTATTTTACAAATGAGTAGCCAGGCTTGGAAGCAATCAATAATGCATTAAATGTCACATAACTAATAAGTGGTGGGACCAAAATTTTACTGAAGGCCTCATGAACACCAAAGCCAATGTTATTTCTGCTATACACACTTCCTCAAAGGAATACAAATCTAGGAAAGGCAGAGTACTAACTGATGAAGCTGTAAATAGGGAGCTACAGATACAGAGGCACTTATTCAGTAGACTTGAATCATTAAATGGAAAGAATGGATTCAGATCTTTAACCATTTATAGAATACTTAGTAAATGTTAGGCTGGATTCTTCTACAAAAAAATCTATTCACATGATGAACTGCTGATTGATATCAGGACCAGTTTGGGTATGTCTTGGCCCAAAGCCTACAAATAATCCTCCAATTAATATCAAACACAAGAGAGCTTTTTAGAATAAGTATCTTAGATAGGATTGCTATTACCTCTATATGCAGCAATGTATGCATAAAATCCCTCATCTCTATAACTTTTTTTACCTCACTGGTTTATGTGGCTATGTTAGTAGACTTTCAGTTCTGTAGGACATCAGGATGACAGCCCAGCGTCCTATGCTCTGTTTTTCTAGACTCCCAACTGTGTTTCAAAGAATGAATGTTAGCCTAGATTGCTCAGTCCTCTGGGTTGACCCTATATTGTTCTTCAAAATTTATTAAAAGTTCCATCATATTTCGTGCTTTACTCTCTAACTAAATTTTGTGGATCAATATTCTGTGCTAAACTGTAATTATAAATAATATAATAATATAATTTAGTAAGTCAAATCATTTACAATCCTAGATTACGTTATGACTCCAAGACCAGTTGGGTATAAGCCCTAGGGATCCAAGCATAAGAAGCTTACTACATAAATACTCTTACATAAAAATTGTTGGATGAGGTCTACTACTCTCTCCTATATGCTTAAGAGTACAATGGAATATTCCTATAAGAATACAAATGTCACAAAGTTATAAGCATGATGCATACACACACATACACAGTTGTAGCACTTCTAGTATATTTTATATTACATAAAATATCCAATTCAATATAAATCAGTAAACAAAATAAAATTCACTGCCTGAGAAGTATCTGCTTTCCATAGAGTGAAAATATGTTGAGCATCTCTAATTCAAAACTCTAAAATCTGAAATGCTTCAAAATCTAAGCCTTTTTATAAGTGCTGATATGACACTGCAAGTGGAAAATTCCAAAGATGACCTCATTTGATAGGTGGCAGTCAAACTCAAGAGCACTAAAAATATTGTATAAAATTATCTTCAAGATATTATAGTGTATATAAAACATAAATGAATTTTGTGTTTAGACTGATTCCCTGTCCCTAAGATATCTTGTACATATGCAAAAATTCCAAAGCAAAAAACAAGAAAAATCCAAAGTCCAAAAACACTTCTGGCCCCATTTTGGGTAAGGAATACTTAACCTCTGCTAACATTAATATTTCCAAAAAAGTTCTAGAAGCCTAATGCACCAAATGCATTAGTTTTCTGCATTCTGTGAAGTTGTATTTTGAACTCCATCATCTGCAAGTTTACTGTGGTAAGGTAATTGGAAAAACTCAGAGTATTGTGGTATTTCTGAAGATAAAGCCCTCCATACAACTAAATAAAGGAAAAACGTCAACTAACTGGACTATTAGAAACAGCTATTATGATGAATTTAATTTTCTGTTAAGTGAGAACCAATTAGATAGTCACTTTACTTCAATTACTGTTGAAATCTTTTCAGTGATTTGCTAGATTGATGTGCTCCTCCACATGCAGGGGAGAAAGCCCTTCGAAATCCAAACGCTTAGTCACCTTTCTGAATCCTTACTTAGCTTTGTGCTTTCTGCCAGACAGAGAAAGAAGCTGTCTCTCCAGCAGTGCGAAGGCAGTTAGAATAGGCAAGCTGTAGAGCTTTCTTGTGTAATAAAAATTTATTGACCTTTTACTATATGTACAGTTCTTACCACTCAATATAGGGGCTTTAACAACCTCTACAAGAGGTTTGGCTTGATGCAGAAATTCATTACTATGTTTTTTTGAGATAAATTCTATGAATATTAATTACATCATTTTCAAAAGAAAGTACAAAAGCACATTTCAAAATGTGATCTGATTTTTAATATTACTCATATTTTCCCCCAGATTATGAATATCAAACAGCATTCTTATGGATAATTGGAATTCAGTTGTGATTTTCCAAACTGTTTCAACTAAGATTGGGTGGAAAAGGTGAGAATAGGGTATCAGAATCTTCAGGGAAATGGGAGCACAGTTAGAGAAGTAACAAACATAGTTAAAAATAAGGCAGTGCTTTCTTCCAATATTTCTATGTATTTTTAGTTACAGAAATACAGTTTAGCATTTCCATTTCATATGTTTGCACTCAAGTTTCTAAAATGTAGGTGGAAAACTGGATTGATTGCTAATCTGTGGTAAAGGTAGGGTTCCTGTCTCCAATGGTATTGCCTCATAAATGGTACTGGTGCTAAGTGTCTTTCATTTCAATGGGAGCTTACTCCAGTTTTTCATCTTTTTTTATTATTTATTTATTTATTATTCATATGTGCATACAATGCTTGGGTCATTTCTCCCCCTTGCCCCCACCCCCTCCCTTAGCACCCACCCCCTCGATACCCGGCAGAAACTATTTTGCCCTTATCTCTAATTTTGTTGAAGAGAGTTACTCCAGTTTTTTAATATTTATCATATCATACTTTGTATCCTTGAATATTGAAGGTATTTAAAAAGGCACTAAGAGATTAATCCTTTTATTATTCAACTGTAAAAAATTTGCATACTGATCAGAATTTCAAATGTATAATTCTTTTTTCTTTTAAAATCTGTATTATTATGAGAAATGAAGAACTGCAAGGCCATTGCTTTCGCTAAAATAAGAAAACGAAATATAGTTTAGAAATTCCAAGTAATATTAAAGTAAAGCCAGTGCTGGGAAAAAGAAAGAGGTTGAGAAATAGTTGTGTAACAGAATTTTTAAAGTACTCAGAAAACTAAGTAATTTTTTGTTGCTAGTCAAAAGTTCATATAGAAGGCATCTGAAGAATGTTTTGAATAGAATCAATAGCCCAAACATACTAAATTCAACAAATAAACATTGCAAAAAAAGTTAATGTTCATAGGGCATGGTATCTATGGAGTGAATTGCATAATTATCTAAATTTTGAGGGAAAAGTAAGCTTGTAAATCTCCAAACACAGTATTATACCTTTGCAACTCTGAGCACTTACATTTTTATTCTGACATTTTGTGTTTCCAGCTGTTACTAAAGTTGTAAACTTTCATAGGTAGAACTATTTATTATCCCGCCTCACCTTTACCTTCTGGTGCCTTGCAAACAAACATAAAATTAGGGACACGTGTCCAGAGTGAGAACTACTCTGATTCCTGAATTTATTTCCCCTCAAGTGGGGTTATTCAAAGACAACTAACACTTTTTTGACTTTCAGTTCCAGAACATTATTCCATGACAATCTTCACAGGATATGTCCTTTCCTACCTGCTGCTGGTTCACAGATCACTGATAAGGTTCAAATCAAACAGTTCTCACAGCTGAGAAAGACAGAAAGAATGCCTATGGTACAGGCCCCCTAATGCAGCGGCTTTAGATCCACGTGATGGATCTCCTAAAGGCTATGAAACACCTACCTCTAGCTTCAGAACATCATGCTGAAGTTTACGCTGAAATTCAAGGAAGTTTTTGATTGTCAGTTTCCCCTTGAGATCAGCTCCAAAAAAGTAGGTTGTAAGGGCTGAACACAGGCCGGACTTGAGTGTGTTACCCGTAGTAGGACGATCTCTGTGACGCATACCCATGCTGGTTTGGGAACGAATGATGCTCTGAACCTAAAATAGGATCAAATCCCCAACCAGAAAAAACATTATGAAAGAGAAAAAAACATAGAAAGAATAATAACTAGTATAGCTATACACCTACACTGTACAACAATTATCTCTTTTTTATTGTTATATTGAATTATCTCCTTTAATGCATATAATAATCTTATCAAGTAAGTCCCATTATTATCCTCATTTTATAGATGAGGAGACAAAGACACACAGAGTTAAATAACTTGCCATGGTCAAGTGACTATCAAGTAGCAGAGCCAACCTCTAACACAGATAGCCTGATCCCTTTCTAATTGGAATCATCTTAGAAAATGTCTCCAGAAAAGAGTAAGCATTTGCTTTTTAGGGCCATAAAAACTCACACAACTAGGACAATCATTAACTTCATAATAATATATTCCACATCTCAATAAGGTTAAAAAAATTCTATACTTTTCACTTCAGACTCTCCAGATGTGACAAGAGGCGACATCTATAGACAAGTTCTCGATACCTAAAACAGATGATACATTTACTAGAATGATACATGAAGTACAAGGTTGGCATGAAATAATACTGTAAGAAAATGCAAAAATCTGGTCAGTCCTTGAGAAAGGATAACTTTTGGGACTAGCAACAGTGGTTTACATATGTAAGCAAGCTTTCTTAGGCAAGTCTATGATTGCTACAGCTCTTTCACCAGCTCCTACAGTCGTTTTTCTCTTTTCACTAGCCAAGAAAACCCTAGCTATTCAGAGTAATTTTAAAAAGACATGTAAGAATAAACAATAAATATACACTATAAAACAATGCATATAGCTTTGTAGGTGATGAATTTTAAAGTGTCAAAATACTTAAAAATCTTAATATTTATAGCAATTGATTAACCTTAAATACCTTTTATTTATTATCTATGACTGTAAAACAGATTTGTTTACGAGGATTTAAGGGAACCTGGTTTTTTAAAATTGATGTTTTTTCATTATAAAATTAATTCCATCTATTACAATAAAAGGAAGAGATATAGAAATAAATAGGGAGTGGTAACCTTCCATAATTCTACCTTCAAGAAAACTGTTGATATATACTTTATAAATGTATATTATATATGTATATAAATAAAATTTTGATTATATACTTTCATACTTTTTGTTTAAATATATTCATGTATGTATGTACATTATATAAATGTGGATATATATACACACACTCACAGACATTATTTTCCATAAATGAAATTTTAGTCTGCAATGCATATTTTTCTCATAACAATGTGACTTTCTTTAATGATAACACATTTATACCTACTTAGTATTCCTTTTTCTTCTTCTCTTTTTTTTTGTGGTTTGTGGTTTGAACTCAGGACTTCGTGCTTGCTAGACAGATGTTCCGTCACTTAAGCCACACCTCCAAAGCTTCATATTCTTTTAATGGTTCCATAGTGTTCTACTGCATTTATTAGTGACTATTTAACTTGTTTCTACATTTTTGGTATTATAAACATGGTAGCAATGGACATTTTATTTTTGTCTTTTCTTTTTTTGGTGCCTATGGCCTCTCACCTAATAGGGAAGCTCTCTACAACTGAGCTACCTTCTAGCCCTAGTTGTTTTTTCTTGGCTGTATTTGGGGGTTGAACTCAGAACCTTATGCTTACTATGTAGATGCTCTACCATTTGAGCCATGTATCCAGCCAGCAATGAACATTTTAATTTATTCTTTCTTGGGTTCTTGTCCATTTATTTCCTTGGAGAAAATTTATAGGAGAAGTGGTAGATTACATTTAAAATATTTATATAATATTGCCAAACAGCTTTCCAGAAAGGTTGAACCAACTTAACACATCTATGAACAATTTAAAAATATGCCTATTTCCCCAGACTCATGCCAGCACTTGCCATTATCTTTAATTAGATAAATTAGATAGATTTAAAACATGATATTATGCTATTTTAACTTGCATTTCTTTTGTTTTTACTAACTGAAGCATCTTTACATATGTTTATTGGTTAATTCTATTTCTTCTTTTAAGTAGTGCTTTTGCCCATTTTTCTGTGGGGGTACCTCTTTTTTTGTTATTGATGTATACAAAGTATACTTGTTTTCCCCCTCAGTGCTAGGGATTGAACTCAGGGTTTTGTGCAGGCTAGGTAATCACTTTACCACTGAGTTATATCCCAGCCTCCATTTACATTTTGAGGATACTGTGCCAGAGATTGGCTGGCTATTTGCCCAGCTCATTTCCTCTTCTTCCTGGGCATCAGCCAGACTCAACTACACAACCTACTTTATGACTATGTATGGCCAGAGAACCAAGTACTAGGCAACAGGATGCCAGCGGAAGTCAGATATGCCATTTCAGGTCTTACCCATAAAACCCATCCAATTATAATTTTTCATGCTACATTGTCATAATATGTACAAAGCCCGGGTCCCCAAATCAGTGCTTGGAAAACTGTCTGCTGATCACCCATTTTAAACTATATGTGTGTGAAAAAAAACTCCTATATGTTAAGTAACTGAAATACTGAAGATATTTTATAAAAGGAATTTAAACCATGTATCTACAAAAGAATTTTATCTCATCAGTGATCCATTTCTTTAAACACAAAGTCCTTCCTTATATGTCCCTAACTTATTGGATAATCTTTCAAAACAACAGTGTGATGAAGAAGTAAAAAAGCTTTGAAATTCTTTTCAAATCTACAACTTACTAGTTATGTTCACTTAAGCAAGGTACTCAACCCATTTCTTAGTTTGTAAAACACGGACAATAATTCTTGAATTACGGGCTTGTTGTCAGGATGAGAGATAATGGATGCCAATATTCCTAAAGTAGAGTTTTCTTAAAAAGAGTGTTCAATAAATGATAGCCAGTTACCATTGTGATTATGTACTTAATCATAATATACTGATTTAAACATAAATCATTGCTTTTAGACTTAAAAGAAGTAAAACTAATATTACTTTATAAAATACTTTATAAAATCCAAGGCACATCAAAGTGTGCTTTAAATATTAATGTAAAGGAATTCACCAGCACAACTTGCCTGTTCAAACTCCTCCATGTCTACTTCTCCATCTCCATTCAAGTCAAACATCTTGAAGGCAATTTCAAAATTTCTTTGAGGAGCTGTAAGTAAAAAGAGAGGCAGAGAGAGAGGAAAAAGAAAAACATTTAGAAGAGATCAGTCAAAAATAAGTGGTTTAACAATAAAATATAATAATCAGAAAATGACAATTTATTTATTTGTTTTTGTTGTTTATACATTTATTCATATGTGTATACATTGTTTGGGCCACCTCTCCCCAACCCCCACTTCCAGGCAGAACCTGTTCTGCCTCTTCTCCAATTTTGTTGAAGAGAAAACAGAAGAGATAATATGAAAGACATAGCATTTTTGCTAGTTTGAGATAAGGATAGCTATACACAGAGATCCCTAGCATTGCTTCCATGCACATGTGTGTAACAACTGAATTGATTCATCTCTACCAGACCTCTTTACTACCTCCCCGTCACCTTCCCATAGTGGCCTCTGTCAGTTTAAGATTACTTGATTAGCTCCTCTACAGTAGGCACATCAACCACTTTCAAGTTTTAGGTTTCATTCCCTTTCCCTATTCCTCCTGTACACATTCTCCCCTTAATGTGTGACCTATGTCAATAATATTACTGCATTTGTTTTAGGCCTAAAGTCTGCATATGAGGGAGAACATACGATTTTTGGCCTTCTGAGCCTGGTTAACTTCACTTAAGATTATGTTCTCCAGTTCCATCTACTTACTTGAGAATGACAAAATTTCATTCTTCTTTGTGGCTGAGTAAAATTCCATTGTGTATAAATACCACATTTTCTTAATCCATTTGTTGGTAGTGGGGCATCTTGGCTGTTTCCATAACTTGGCTATTGTGAATAGTGCTGCAATAAACATGGGTGAGTTGCATTCTTTGGTGTATATCCCTAGGAGTGTTATTGCTGGATCATACAGCAGATCTAGATTAGTTTTTTAAGAAGCCTCCATATTGTTTTCCAAAGTGGTTGTACTATCTTACATTCCCACTGGCAGTATATGAGGGTTCCTTTTTCCCCCGCATCCTCACTAACATTTGTTGTTGGTGGTATTTTTGATAACAGCTATTCTAACAGGAGTGACGTAGAATCTTAGTGTGGTTTTGATTTACATTTCCTTTATGGCCAGGGATGGTAAGCATTTTTTCATGTGTTTTTTGGCCATTTGGATTTCTTCCTTTGGAAAAGTTCTGTTTAGTTCAGTTGCCCACTTCTTTATTTGTTCATTGATTTTGGGGGAGTTTAGTTTTTTGAGTTCCTTGTATAGTCTGGTTATCAGTCCTTTGTCTGATATATAGCCAGCCGATATTTTCTCCCACTCTGTGGGTGGTCTCTTCAGATTAGAGACCATTTTTTTGTTGTACAGAAGCTTTTTAATTTCATGTAGTCCCATTTGTCCATCCTTTCTCTTAGGTGCTGGGCTGCTGGAGTTGTATTGAGGAAGTTTTTGCCTATACCTATTGCTTCCAGAGTACTCCCTGCTCTTTCCTGTACCACCTTCAGAGTTTTGGGTCTGATATTAAGGTCTTTAATCCACTTTGAGTTAATACTAGTACAGGGTGATAAGCATGGATCTAGTTTCAGTTTTCTGGAGGCAGATAACCACTTTTCCTAGCAACATTTGTTGAAGAGGCTATCTATTCTCCATTGTATGTTTTTGGCACCTTTGTCAAAAATAAGGTAGGCATAGCTGTGTCGATTCATATCTGGGTCCTCTATTCTGTTCTACTGGTCTTCATGTCTGTTTTTGTGCCAGTACCATGCTGTTTTTATTGCTATGATTCTAGTATAGTCTGAAGTCAGGTATTGTGATACCTCCAGCATTGCTCCTTTTGCTGAGTGTTGCCTTGGCTATTCATGGTCTCTTGTGTTTCCAAATGAACTTTAGGGTGACAGCTTGTTTATATCAACCTTTCAGTAATACTTCTTAAAACCAAAAGAGAATTTTGTGGACAGTAAAGAGCAAATGTCTATCTTTGTGTTTCAAAATGTTTTCTTAAATATTTCAGCTTTGCTTTTTAAAAGTACCACCATCTTAGCTGTATAATATTCCATTTTTTCTTTTGCATTCTGGGAATTGAACCCAGGGCCTTGTGCATGTGAACCACACACTCTGTGTTGTTTCTCTGTGACTTAAATAGATTATCTATCTGGGAAAAAATGACTGTGTAGGATAACACGTATGCCTGCAAAGCGAGAAGTTGAAAGTTCTATGTCTTTGTCTTGCTTTTAACAGAAGTTACTTTCTACTTTATTCTTTCTAGTCTCTTTATTGTAAGTACAATGAGGAATTCAGTGCATGTTGTTCTGCCATGGGATTTGAAGCTGTTTTCTTATAATAGTCTATTTATTATTACTACAGCTCTGTAGTAGGGCAGATAAGTATACTCTAGGCTATTGAGCCCCCTCTTTCAACCATATCAGTACATATACAAATTACTGAGTAAAGTACCCTGAAATGTTAAAATTAACCTGAAGCCTAAAAAACAAAATAAATACATGCAAAGTTTGACAAGATGGCATATATTCTTTCCCTTAAGTGAACGATGGAAGTTCTTCAATACTTTTTTAGTGTTCCAGGATCAACCAAAATACAATTAATTTACTTTGTGCATAAATTTAAAATATAAACTTAATAGCTCTCCTTCTTTACCATAATAAATGTTCTGGTAAAGAAAAGGTATTATTTCCTTCCTTTGGTGCTTCAAACTTAAAGAACTTTAGAAAATAAACCAAAATAAGTATCCTACATAATACCATTGAATTAAATGTTACTAAAAAAGAAAAGATTAAATGTAGACAAAGAACTATGAACAAACTGTGCATATTGTATCATAAATAACTGTAGAAAAGTCCATATTTCCATCTTGCTCATGAATTTGTTAATAGTAATATCTTCTGAGCTAAATTCCATTTTCAGATAGCCTGCTAGTGAGGCTGATGAGTTCTGGTTTTCAGTTGCCTTGGCGAATCATGTGCCTTGTCAGCTTCCAATTGTCTGCTTCACTTGATATTGGCTTCTAAAAGATTCTTTTTCTTTTTTTTTTTTTTTCTTGGTTTTTGAGACAGTGCCCCATGCTGCCATCCTCCTGCCTCAACCTCCTCAGTGCATCACCAGGTCTGGCCAAGATTTGCTCTTCTTTAGGCCACAACTACAATTATGGGGACAGACAAACCTGGAAGAATTAGATTTTTTGTGTATTTATTGTCATTTCTCAAAAATTTCTTGCCTGTCTAAATGTAATCTTTACTGAGGAAGTTACACTGTGCCAAACATTAAGCTAGGTAATTTCAAGTTGTTTATTGTTTCGTTTTGTACTCTAAATTCTGAAAGTTTTGATTTATTTTTTAAACAGAGGAACAAATTGAGGCTCAGAACAGTTAAATGGCTAGCTTGAAACTACTCACTAAAATAAAATGAACTTAGATCAATACTGACTCCAATTTATAAATGTCACATTATGCTCCATGGCCTCCAATATGAATTCAGAGGTACCTATGATAAACACATATACTTTATGCTAATATGTTTTGATCTAAAAACAAAACAATAAAACATGACTCAGTCGTTACATCAATCTCTGAAAAAGCTCAGCATTCCATGTTGTTCACCTCAAGGAGACAATATCAGTGTGTGAATTATGCTTAGTAGGTTAGACTTGGCTATAGTAACTGAGAACCTATAGGCAACATTGACTCTCAGATAGGTTTGTCATATGTCTTTCAAAATTCTAATATGAACCTCTTTGGAAATGTGTGCACACCCCTATTCTTCCCTATTGCCTCACACTTGGCTCACTTTGGTCCCCAAGTCATTTGCATAACCTCTGCAGATACCTGAGATTGTAACAATGGCAGAAAATATGAAGACACAGAAGGTTTTAAGTAGGGATCTGACACAATCAGGCTTTTAGAAAGGACATCTCTGGCTACTGTGTGAAGGGTGATTTGGAAAAGAAGAGTCAGCTTCAGAGAAGATCACAGAAGCTCCTATAAATGTTGAAAATGTGAACTGAGGTGATGGCAATGGTAATGGAGAGGAGGGAGCAAATTTGAAATACTTTAAGAAGGCAGAAATTACATAACTTAATGATCAGTTAGCTGTGATGAGTTAGAAGTGAAGAGGAATGACAGCATGACTGGCTTAGACTACTGGGAAGCTTGCATGTCATTTACCAAGAAATAAAATAGATATAAAAGGTTTGATGAAATATAATTAGTTCAGATGGGATTTGCTGAATTCGGAGGTCTACAGCACACTTAGGAGATATTTAGGAGATAGTGGAAATATGGACAAAAGGTTAGAAAGTTAAAGCTGGAAGCTACCAGCATATGACATGGTTAGCTGCAAAGAGCCCAAAATGAAGATGCCCAAAGAGAACGGAGAGGTGAGGAAAGGGTAGAATGCAGGAGGGAGCCAAGATTTAAGAGGCAGGGCAAAGGAAATGAAGCAGTGACAGAGGAGGTGACATCAAAACATAAAGAGGAACATACTCCAAATTAATAGAAATAGAGAAAAATTAGTGAGAGCCAAGTCACTATGTTCTCATACATGAATTAAGGAAGCACTCCCATCCTCTATATCCATATAATTGTAGCTTTATTATCATCTTTTATTCTTTCTGTCTTGTGAGTTCCATGAAGGCATGCACACAGATCATTTAAATGACTGAATGAGTTTTTCTATCAAATCATGCTTAATATTTCCTCCTACAACTAAGATTAAATTAATTTACTGAACAAAGCACACTCTGTACTGCCTGAAGTTTCTCTTTCTATCCTGGCAGTTACTTTCACACTGAGCCTGTGCTGTATGCACAGCTGCTCTGAGTACTGATTAAAGTATATGTGAGGACACTCCAGAGGATGCCCTCTGTGCTCTGGTCACTGCTGAGGCAGGCTGGACAGCAGACTTGCACATTCTAATTTGGGCCTCAGAAGCCTATCAGGGAAGGTCCTTCCAGAAGAAATTCCCTTGGCCTGTTCAGTATTCATCTGCTGATCATGTCAAAGAACATAAGACAAGCCCAAATGAAATTGCTTTCAGTGAAATATGCCACCA